ACATGATCCACAAACACAAATCGCTCTTTCATACTGGTCGGATTTTGATGTCGTATCAGTGCAAGACTCCAGCATAGCTAAACAAAACTACACAAATACCCCCTCTGGTTGCCTCATCTACCTCTTTTTATCAGACTTTTTTGTCTCTCTCTTTCCCAAAACACACACGGGCCCACGCGCACACACTTTGACTACATGCTGAATGTGTAATGCACAGAGATAGTGGGATTTGCAGCCACTGAATTTCTCCGTGTTCTCCTGTGTATCACGCTTTACTTGAAGGCAAAATACTGTATAGCGAAGCCAATTAGAGCAGGATTTGTACTGTAAGTGAAAAGGTCAGTCCTTGACGGTGACATTAGGTGAGATCTGTGGAATGGAAAAGTGTGGTCAGCTATTCCTCTTGTCCTGCTACTGGCCTTGTGTGATATAGGATGATAGTGGCTGGACCTACATATCAAGAGGAACGTACAGAACATTACACACAGGGAGAGCTTTAAAGATCTAGTTTTATGTACCTCTTTTCCAGCTTAGTCATTAACCAGCCCTGAGTTACTTGCATGACACAGCAAGAATCAATTCTCCCTCCGTATAATTATACCATTATTTACCGAGACTGTATTGAATGGAGCGTTTTTATGGTGCCGGTGCCCACCCTAATGAATATGGATCTGGTTTTCATCCTTTTTGTTCAGATATAAGAACACTTGGAAAGTAAAAGAAAGCATAAAAGGAGTTCAGTGATCTTTTTACATTTTTTTTTAGCTCCAGCCAAAGGCAGTAGATGTGTAATTCAGGGTTTGTTACTGCACTTCAATGAAGACAGATGTTATCATTCACTTGTTGGTTAATTAATGCAGACGTGTGGAGAGAGAGTGTGGACCCAAGTGCAGACACAGACGGTGAGAGACTTAAAGTGAAAGCGAGCCTTTATTACAGCGAGGCAAAGGAGAGAATGACAAAACTGGGAAAAACCTTAAAACAAATATAAGGAAATTAAAGACCGAATACGAAAACCTGAGACAAGGAACAATGAACCTGGAACATGGAGAAATGCAGCAGGGGATACACAGTTGATCCGGCGACAAACAGAGGAAGACAAAAGGCATAAATACACAGAGGGTTAACGAGGGAATGAGACACAGGAGGAGACACACACAACTGGGAGAAATCACACGCAACGAGACCGGGAGAAGCAAAACTAGAAAAGCCTGACTGTCAAAGTAAAACAGGAAACACGAGACAGTGAAAAGCACAGACATGAAACCATAACTTGACTAGATGTGACACAAGGAACAAAGGGGAAGTATGGAGACAGAGATCAAGAGACTAGAAACTAAATAACAACGACATGAAAGACTATTAATAATTCAAAAACACAAAACGCCGGCTCACAGACCCAGGCCCATGACACTCACGTCACTACACCTCAAATGTATGCACATATACAAATCTGTGTGTGTGTGTGTGTGTGTGTGTGTGTCTGTCTGTCTGTGTATACACACACATATATAATGCACATACTCACTGGCCACTTCATTAGGTACAGCTGTTCAAGTACTCATTGATGAGTCGTTCACGTGGCAGCAGCTCACTGCATTATGGCATGTAGAGATGGAAGAAAGGAGATTTTTTTGAGTGAACATGGTGTGCTTGTTGGTGCCAGGCAGGTTGGTCTAACTATATCTGGTGGTCTACTGGGCAGAAAGTTTTCATAAGACCCTGTGCAGTTCTGTGAAAAGCCTGATTGAAACTTTGCGTTTGGACCTTAAGAGAGCCATGCATATGTGAATGCCCACAAACCTCGATGAGCTGAAGCAACTTTGTAAAGACGAGCCAAAAGTGCAAATATGTGAGAGACTGATAAAGTAAAGGATTACTTCATGTTAGTGCTGATAAATGTGCTTCTGCACGCTGCCGAATGACGGGGATGTTAGTTTTTCACAGGACTGCTTAGAGTCCTGTGAAATCTTTCTTATTCACAGGATCATGTGAAATTACAAGTGTTGCTACAAGTGGGAAGAAAATTTGTAACTAGAATTGAATAAAAGCACACAACAACCACACTACTAAACCACTCCTTTTACTGGATTTAACAGCTTATTAACAACCTTTGGTTTCTGACATAAATGCATGTTCTATTTGTTTTTATAATAAATGACTGAACTGATTCATTATTCAGTTTTAAAATGATGAGCACTGTCATTCACTGCACTTTGTGATTGATGTTCTGCAGTCTATTACACAGTTCCAGTATAAATAATGCAAATAACAACTGGGTTAAAGGGTCTGCAGTCTTCCTCGAAAGCTGCATTATGCCCCCAAACAGCAGAGAGAGAGTGCAACCTTTTCTTGCCTCCATATATTACAGTTCAATTTTCAGTTGTTAGAATACAGTGGGGCAAAAAAGTATTTAGTCAGCCACCGATTGTGCAAGTTCCCCCACTTAAAATGATGACAGAGGTCAGTAATTTGCACCAGAGGTACACTTCAACTGTGAGAGACAGAATGTGAAAAAAAAATCCATGAATCCACATGGTAGGATTTGTAAAGAATTTATTCGTAAATCAGGGTGGAAAATAAGTATTTGGTCACCTCAAACAAGGAAAATCTCTGGCTCTCACAGACCTGTAACGTCTTCTGTAAGAAGCTTTTCTGTCCCCCACTCGTTACCTGTATGAATGGCACCTGTTTGAACTCATCATCTGTATAAAAGACACCTGTCCACAGCCTCAAACAGTCAGACTCCAAACTCCGCCATGGCCAAGACCAAAGAGCTTTCGAAGGACACCAGGAAAAGTATTGTAGACCTGCACCAGACTGGGAAGAGTGAATCTACAATAGGCAAGCAGCTTGGTGTGAAAAAATCAACTGTGGGAGCAATCATCAGAAAATGGAAGAAAATGGAAGACATACAAGACCACTGATAATCTCCCTCGATCTGGGGCTCCACGCAAGATCTCATCCCGTGGGGTCAAAATGATCATGAGAACGGTGAGCAAAGATCCCAGAACCACACGGGGGACCTGGTGAATGACCTGCAGAGAGCTGGGACCAAAGTAACAAAGGTCACCATCAGTAACACACTACAACGGCAGGGAATCAAATCCCGCAGTGCCAGACGTGTTCCGCTGCTGAAGCCAGTGCATGTCCAGGCCCGTCTGAAGTTTTCCAGAGAGCACATGGATGATACAGCAGAGGATTGGGAGAATGTCATGTGGTCAGATGAAACCAAAGTAGAACTTTTTGGTATAAACTCAACTCGTCGTGTTTGGAGGAAGAAGAATACTGAGTTGCATCCCAAGAACACCATACCTACTGTGAAGCATGGGGGTGGAAACATCATGCTATGGGGCTGTTTTTCTGCCAAGGGGACAGGACGACTGATCCGTGTTAAGGACAGAATGAATGGGGCCATGTATCGTGAGATTTTGAGCCAAAACCTCCTTCCATCAGTGAGAACTTTGAAGATGAAACGAGGCTGGGTCTTCCAACATGACAATGATCCAAAACACACCGCCCGGGCAACAAAGGAGTGGCTCCGTAAGAAGCATTTGAAAGTCCTGGAGTGGCCTAGCCAGTCTCCAGACCTCAACCCCATAGAAAATCTGTGGCGGGAGTTGAAAGTCCGTGTTGCTCGGCGACAGCCCCAAAACATCACTGCTCTCGAGAAGATCTGCATGGAGGAATGGGCCAAAATACCAGCTACTGTGTGTGCAAACCTGGTAAAGACCTATAGTAAACGTTTGACCTCTGTTATTGCCAACAAAGGTTATGTTACAAAGTATTGAGTTGTATTTTTGTTATTGACCAAATACTTATTTTCCACCCTGATTTACGAATAAATTCTTTACAAATCCTACCATGTGGATTCATGGATTTTTTTTTCACATTCTGTCTCTCACAGTTGAAGTGTACCTCTGGTGCAAATTACTGACCTCTGTCATCATTTTAGGTGGGGGAACTTGCACAATCGGTGGATGACTAAATACTTTTTTGCCCCACTGTATGACATCCTTCAAGAGTTTACTTCTGCACATTAGAAAGATCATTTCTCATTCGTTCTTAGCATTTACAAATGTGTTAGAAAATTAGGGCAAATAACAAAGTGCGGCTGTCTGCACTTTGGACAAAGATTGGTTGTATGTGTCTGCGCGATCAAAACAGATAAACTTAAAGAGTTCTGCTCATTATGCTTGCATTATTTCATTGTGTAAATCCCTGCACTTGTAATAGTGCTTCTAATTGTGAAAATCTCCCACGCCCTTATGTGTGGGTCATGGATATAGAAGATGCAGAGGAGAAAAGAGGATGGATGGATGGTATGATGGTTGTCTACTGTAGTTCTTCCCCTGTTGCGTTGGAAGAAGGGTGTGACGTGTGAGGCTGATGAGTGTATTTGACTAAATGTCAGACTAATCAGAAGGTTGGTGGTTCAATCCCTGTCTTCTCGAGTCTGTATGCCAAAGCATCCTTGGACAAGATACTGAACGCTGAGTTGCCCCTGATAAGTTCTTTGGAGCATGAATGTGTGTGAATGTTAGGTGCAATAGCATGCACTTAGATGCAGAAAAATAGGTGCTTGTGTGAATGAGACATGTTGTGTACAGTGCTTTGAGTACTTGAGTAGGAAAGTCCTATAGAAGACCAGTCCAGTGAAAGTGTAGTACTACACATGCATGTTTATTTCAGGTACTGTGTAAATTTCCTCATCAGCAGGCATTCACTGTCAATGACAAGGAAATGACAAGATAAGTGTAACACTTCAGGAATCCACAAAGCATCCAAACATGTTGATGGCTTTGGATCACGCTGTCTGAAAGAAACGTTTTATTTCAGTAGCACCAACTTAAGCACTGATATGACATCTTATGTGCACAGTACTTTTGTGGGTTAACCATAGTGTTTTGCTGCATGTATGAGGTGTTTTGAGAACATCAGATTTGTGAATTGAAAAAAAAGTGTTCACTCTAATTGCCTCGTATTTCCGCTCTTTCCAGCTCCTCCTCATCTCATCGAGACGCCCCAAGATGTCCAGAAGCTCATCGATGACTCGCTGGCGTGGGAGTGCAAAGCCACCGGGAAGCCCAAGCCTTCATACAGGTGGATGAAGAACGGGGAAAACCTGGAGTCTACCGAGGTGAGAGCTCCCGGCGACCCACGTGTTTTTAGAACTGAAGAAAAGGGCTAGACCTTCTTCGGCAGCTTCGCGACAGATGTTTCTCACACACTCCGCGCTGCCGAATGAAGGATTGGAGCAGCCATGTACTGTACTTTCAGAGCTTTATTGCGCTGCTTGTTCAAGCTTTACTGACTAATTACCTTGCATTATATTCTTCTTCATTACAACACAGTGCCTCCTGTTCAGTTTATGTTACTCACTTCTGCAAAACAGCATTTATTTCAAAGGAATTAAACTGTGTCTGCTGTGCTGAGAGACGAAACTGTAAGCAGGCCAAGTACAGTGATGTAAGAGCCACCCTAATCTTCTGCTAAATCTCTCCACGCCGAGCGCGGTTATTAATCCTGTGCCACCAAAGAAGAAAAATACAAGATTCTCTATACAAACATTGTATATCCTACTTTCATTTTAGCTCGCCGCCCCCCTCCGACTCCCCATTATGAGTCCGGTGATGAGAGATGAGTCTATTAGGACCAGCCTACTTCCACACCTAACTTTAACTGAACTCTGCTGTTGGCATTTGCAAAAATATGATCCCCTGTATTTGTTATTTATGTTGGATTATGATATCAGATCATTTAGTCAGGTTGTTTGGAAAATAACGATTGGACATTCAGGCACAGCGTGCACCTGATAAATAAACAGGCATTATGTTAATTTGCTTCATTATGCAAGAAAGGCGACAAACACACCAGAGGATATCGATCAGTACTTGAATGTTATACATGTGGTTGAAATGAACTCTGTGTGTTGTTATTACTGGAGGCAGTACTCCACACAGCACAGGCTTTTTCATATAAAAAAACTGATTTGGCTTGCCATCAGGGGAGAGTAATCAACAACCTGTTTAGCCAATGGCAAACGCTTTTATCAGCACCTCTTATGAGGTAAGGCTCTTGTGTTTTCGGTGTGTGAGAGTAATCATGTTATTGTTTTTCTTATTTGGCAGTTTCTTAAAAACAGTAAACAACAAAGCATTTGATTGATCCCGTTTGACTCCCTGTGACCTTACTGCTTCTTTCTCTGTTTACTGGAGGTGCAATGACAATTCCAACAAATGTAAATAAACCCATATTTTGTTCACAATGAGCGACTAAGGGTTGATAATATTATTGGACATAGACAGAGTTTTTTGCTCAAGTAAAGATGAGCAGAGGTTCAGCAATCTGCAAAATTGTAAAACTGTTTGAATATCTTATTATTTACAGTACATAATATCATCAAAAGATTGTGAGAGTCTGGAGAACAAGGTACAAAGCAGAAACTCAATATTCAAGGCCCATAATCTTCTCCCGTGGCGTTGCATCAAAAACATGCACGATCCTGGCATGGAGATCACCGCACAGACTCCGAAACACTTCCAGAAACCACTGTCTGTGACCACAGTTTACAGTGCCATCCTCGAATGCAGGTTAATCTGCTCTATCAAGCAAAAAAGACGCTACACAATCAGGAATGTTGCAGTCTTCTCTTTCTCTAAACTTACTGAATCCAGGAATGAAGCTAGGAAACACGGTTTGAACACAAGAAAAGTGGAAAACTGTTCCGTGGTGGGACAAATCAAAGAGAACATTTCTGGAAACATGGACGCCACATCCTCTGGACTAAAGAAGAGTTCAAAAGTATCTCTGATGGTATCGGTGCATCGGTGTTTTTGGAATTGGCAACTTGCACAACTGAAAAGGCAACATATGCTCAAATCCACATGATGTGTTTTTCAGCAGAGGCCTTGCATAATTCGGCAAGACGATGCTAAACTACATACTCCATCTATTCAGAAAGCAAAGTAGAAGGATCTGTGTGCCGAAGTGGCCTGACGTCCAGACCTTTCACTAACTGAAAACATGAAAAAACTAAAGAAACAAAGACGACACGAGGCTGCCGAGCAGCTAGACTCCTATAAAAGACAAGTGCAGGAAAACATTTCTGCCTCAAAAGTCCAGCAACTAGTCTCCTCAGTTGTTAGATGTGTGCGAACTGTTGCTACAGGAAGAGGGGAAGCTACACAGTGATAAACACGATGTCACTAATATGACCTTATTTTTTAATTAAAATGCTAAACATTTGATTTATATTTTATATTCCACTGTCAATAAAACAGATTTGTGAGATTTGCACATTTTACACAGTGTGCTTACTTTTTAAGAATTTGGGTTATAGAATAAATTTCTAAAGATCGCTTCAAAAACGGAGGAAAACTACACGCACAGTTCATCACCCTCTGGATACGGGGCAGTAAGTGCATGATTAAAGGTTAGAGTGATGGCACTGATGTTTGTGCTGCACAATTCTTCTTAACATACACATAATTAATGGATACATTCCAAACGCATGGGTGAATGGATTAATCAGCAAAGGTGTTACATTGTTTGAAATGCCACCATTAACCGCAGTGGCTTAATGAGTGGAAGAGGGAAAGGTCAGTGATGTAAGAAGCGGTGGGGAGAGGAGCCGCCGTTTGTTGTTATTTATTAACGATGAATCAATTGCGGCTCTTCTGACTGAGCAGTTCACTGAAAGTAACTTCTGATGAACTTTGAGCATAAAAAAGAGCAACGTAAAAGTCATTTTTTGACTGTCGGTTCCTGCAGGGGTCAAATAGTCAATTATATGTGCACTACATTTACTTGTTAAATGATGACATATGGACCGTCCACTAAGCTCACATGCTTTCAGTGTACTGCAGTGCTGTGCCCCTGTATTAATACACATGAACAATCATTCAGCTGCCATTCTAGCCCTCTCCAGCTTTAGCATTAGCACGTTCTTGGATGAAGTAGGAACAGTTTCTGGAGTCTTCCTCATACCTTAGGTGGTTCTTTTCTCAACTCAGCACTTGACTTTTATTTAAAAAAGCAAACTTTCCCTCTCCTAAAAACTAAAGACTAGCATAATCATACTTTTGTAGGCAGCTGTGGAGTGGCAGATAATGATGTCATTAACCTTCCAAAAACAGACTACTATTGGGTTTTTTACCTTCATTTGTCATCAGAGTCATAGCAGGACTGTACTTCATGTGTTTTTGTTTAAAAAAAACTTTATCCAGAACATTCTATATTATTTCTTTGGATTTCAGCTGGTTTATAGTTAAATTGTTACTCTTCTCATGAATCCCTTTTCTCCATGAATGTTGGACACTGGACTTAATTATACCTCCTTGGACAACAGAGCACAGTACTGTGCAAAGGTTCTAGGCAGGTGAGAAAATATGCTGTAAACAAAGAATGCTTTCACAAATGGAAGTGTTAATAATTGATTTTCATCAATCAACAAAATGCAGTGAATGAACAAAAGATAAAAAATAAAAACAGTATTTGGTGTGACCACCCTTTGCCTTCTTCTTGGTAAACTTGCACACAGTTTTTGAAGGACCTCGGCTGGTAGGTTGTTCCAAACATCTTGAAGAACTAAGTAGGCTTCCTCACAGCCTTCTGTCTCTTCATGTAATCCCAGACGCACTCGATGATGTTGACATTAGGGCTCCGTGGGGGCCGTACCATCACTTCCAGTACTTCCAGTTCTTCTTTGCGCTTTGGCTGTGTGTTTGGGGTCGTTGTCCTGCTGCAGAATACATTCGGGGCCATTAAACAATCATTTATATTTGTGAAAGCGTTTTTTTGCTGACAGCATTTTTCCACACTTGCCTAAAACATTTGCACAGTACTGTAAATTCGCATTATAAAAGTTGAAAGAATTTTTTTAAACTTTTTATTTTGTACTTTTTCCAAATTTATAGTACATGCAAACAAAAATATGAAAAGGAACACAAAAGAAACAAACTAAAAGGAATAAAGGACACTTAAAAAAAAATTTAAAAAATTAAAAATAAAATAAACAACGAGGAGAGGTCCCTGCCTTATGGGGCTGAGTCTTATAGGCTATCCATTTTGTCTACTGTTTTCGGTCTTTGTCAGATTTCAGTCTCAAAGTGTAGGTCATTTTCTCCATTATATATATGTCCTCGATTACATCAGTCCATTCTTCCAGTTTTAAAGGGTCACTTTTCAGCCTGTTTTTTGTTATTACCTTTTTGCTTGACAACAACATAATTTTAAACAAGTAATGGTCCTCCATTGTTACATTTTCCCATATCCCAAAATATATTACTCGTGCCTCACACGGCACGTCATACCCCAGCACTTTCTTCATTGTTACTGCAATGCTTTCCCAGTAAGGTTTGATATTTTTACACTTACAAAACACATGAGAATGATTGGCGTACAGTCTCCACATAATCTCCAGCATCATTTGTGTATAATTTTCTGAAATATCCGTAGACAAATAAGTGCGAATTTCATTCCTGGAACCAGAGCCGTTGAAAAAGCGGACGTCATTGCTGAGCTCTGTAGCGACGCTTTAATGGGTTTTTACATATTTTTGAGATTTTTTATTATGGACCCACAGCGAACAAGCTGTTGTGTTCAGTTTTTCTCAGGATTGCTTTTATTACCTGTGTCAGAAAAGCTATGTTTCTTTTCTTGTGGCATTTTCATCTGAAGGACCTCACTCTCTGCTGCTTTATTGACAATGGCTGCAGGATTAAGTAGCGCCGCAATTAAAAGGAAACTCCACCGTGAAACAGGATTTAGTCCATTTAAAGGACCACCGTACTCATAGCTTACTGCTCTGCACTTGAATTTAGGTTTCCCTGCTCTCTTAGGACTCTTATCCAAAAGGCTTCAAATAATGTTGCTTTAAGTGTGGTTTAATACTTAAAAGGGATCAGAGAGATGGTTGAAATTCCTTGTTTTCCATGTTCGTTCAAGCTCAAGTGGAGCAAACAGGCTTCGCCTCAAGTTTTGTTCTTGTTATTATAAAGCCACTGTTGAGCTTAGTTCACATCTGCTACTTCTGTCCTGCTCAGGCACATTAAATTAATCAAACATCTATGAGTAGAATGAGCAGATTTCTTTAACATTTCTCCTCCAGTGAGCACTAATAATTTCTTTTTGTTTGAACCCTTTTTCTTAGTCAACAACACTGTTGGTCAAGTTACTTGAAAAAAGTAATCAGTAACTAATTACTGATTACTTCCCCCAAAAGGTAATCCCGTTACTTTACTGATTACTTATTTTCAAAAGTAATTAATTACTTAGTTACTTTTTAAAAA